TATTCCATCTCAATCAGGTACTTCAGACGATCGTACTGGTAGTAGTGGCTCGGGCGGAAATTCTTCCGCTGTTCGCTCTTGTCCTACCTCGACTGCTGTCCAATTCTCACCGAATCCTCCACCAGCTGAAACCCATCTTCGCCCTCGACGGCCCTTCAAACTAGCCACATTTAATGTGCGTATTCTGATGCGTATAGGACAACAGGCGTGTTCAGCTCGAACGCTCGAAACCCTAGCCATCGAGGTGTGTTGTATCCAAGAAACTCGCATTCAAGACTCCAGCTCCTTTATCCGCTTGACGTCCCTGTCAAACCCATCTGTAANCACTTACGCCTCTCTGGGGACCCTGAGGCTGCGGTTTCCGGTCTCATCCGGGTCACCGGTAGGAAAGTCTTCGGTGTGAGCGAAAAGATCCGCGAAGCTGACGGTTCACCCATTCACAATCAACAGCGACGTCTTGCACGCTGAGCGGAGCACTTCAAAGCAAAGTTTACCTCGTCTCCGTCGTCAGCTTCTCACACATCTATTTCGGCACACGTCCCATGATCTGTCTCAACAGACCCACTTTCTGAAGCGGAAATCCATAAGGGGATCCAAGCCTTGGGACGTCATGAAGCGCCGGGCTCCGATGGCCTTTCTTCAGCCCTATTTAAAGATGGCGGAATTAAGCCTGTTAGAGAACTACAAGTTCTGTTCTCTTAAGTTTGGAACACTGAGCAGCTTCCATCCTCGTGGGGGGAATCGATTGTTACCCCCATCGTCACAAAGAACCCGCGCAATGACTGCGCCAATCATAGGGGCATAAGCCTAATCCCGGTAGCGTCAAAGCTGTTGGCGTCCGTCATTCTCCGCCGATTGTACACCACGCGTGAGGAGCAAATCCGCGAGGATCAGGCTGGGTTTCGTGCCGGTCATGGATGTATCGATTAAATTTTCACCCTCCGACAGCTGCCAGAGCACCGTCATGCCTACCGAAGACGAACAATCATTGTATTCCTATACATCCCTGCGGCCTTCGACTCTATCGATAGGACCGCACTGTGCGGCTGTTTGTTGAGAAATGGAGTACCCGAGAAGTATGTGTCGATCCTCAAAGAGTTGTATCATCGTACCTCAGGTCGGTTTAGGGCCCATGGCCAACTTTCGCCACCCTTCGCCGTCTCCAGTGGAGTTCGACAAGGCTACCTTATATCCTCATTTCTTTTCAACTTCACCATAGAGGATGTTCTACAGAATGCTTTGTCCGGTTTGGCAAACGGTGGAGTTGAACTCCTCCCAGGGAACAGAGTTCTTGACTTGGAATATGCCGATTACATTACCTTGCTGGGTGACAACACAGGCAGTCCAAAACGCTTTGAACCGCTTGGCGATAGAGGTATCCAGGTATGTTATGTGCTTTGCACCTTTTAAGTGCAAAGTGCTTCTCCAAGACTGGCAGGAGCCTGTATCTGCACTCACCATCTGTGGTGATCAGCTGGAGTAGTTGAGTGCTTTAAGTACCTCGGGAGCTTGATCGCAGCTGGTAGGGGTGTCGGGGAGATCACATCACGAATAGCGAAAGCTAGGGTAGCTTTCGCCAACCTGCGACACCTGTGGCGCCGCCATGAAATCCGACTGTCCCTTAAAGGAAGGGTGTACATCGCTGCGGTTCATTCCGTTCTCCTTTACGGTAGCGAGACCTGGCCCCTCCGTGTTGAGGATGCTGTATTTGACCAGCGATGTCTCCGAAGCATTGCTCTGCTGGGAACACCAGATGAGTAATGACGAGGTTCGTCGTCGTGTGTTGGGTGCGGATAGTCGTTCTCTAACGGAAGTAATGGCTCTACACCGCCTCCGATGGCTTGGTCACGTGTTGCGTACGTCTGCCCACCGACTACCTTTCCGTGCTCTCTTTGCACGTACCGGGCAAGGCTGGAAGAAGCGCCATGGCAATCAGACCATCACATGGAGTAGGGGTATGAAGAAGTTGGCTTCGGCTTTGGCTTCGGTTGGTACAGCCCGCCCTCCAGGTTGGGG